CATTTACAGCATGTAATCAGTACTTTCAATTGTTACAGAGACAAGGAATTATCTGTACATATATAATATACATATGTACATAAACAGCCTGATCTTTCCACACTGAGTCACCTCAAGTCACTGCTCATACAAAATCTATTGCAAGCCTACTGCTGGTTATAGAAAGTATGATTCCTGTGGAAGTTTCCCCTTCTAGTGCTTTTCAACGCTAAATCATAGGCAATTTAATTTCACTATTTCCAAGAATTTACAAAAAATATTCTTTCATGTCAATGGTAAAATATATGTCAACAAAGTAATGTTGAATAATAAAAAATATGAAATGTAAAATAAGTAGTGGTGCAGGTAGTCACCCCCTTTAAGATGATTAAAGTAATTAGTGAAGCAGAAATGATGTGAGTTCAGTGAATGTGTCTCAGTGATTGTAGCAGAATGATGGTTGTATCTGGAAGGTCCAGTCACTGATAAATCAGTGCTCCTGACTTTCACTAAACCATGAAGACAAAAAACCACTTCAGCAACTCTGTGAAAAGACTATTAAAAAGCACAAGTCAGGGGATAGATACAAAGTACCATTAAATCCATTATAGGAAACAGAGCAACGATGACACATCCATAAACACAGGTGCATCGCAAGTAATTAAAATATTGTGGAAAAAATAAATTCTCTCTTTTCTTGTCTGCTCTAATAGGGTAAAATAAAACACTCATATACGAAATCTGGCTGGTTCTCTCCACTTTATCTAGACTTATTGAGCTTTCTGATTCAAATCATGTCAGTTGACCGACACAAATAAACACAGAGAGCTTTATTTTGTCATTTAGCTTTTATTAACCCAGGCAATAAAGAATTCCTGATTTATGTGACACTGTCATTAAAAGTCACCTGCAGAGATGAAAGAAAAGGAAAAAAAATATACAAGATAGATATACTAAAGGGTGAAAGAAATCTGTAATGCAAAATGATAAAGGAAAGGTGACTATGACAAATATCCAGTAGGCACTTTTTTAAAAGGTGAAAGGCTCGTTGCTTTGCCTGTAGTTCCACTGGTTACGCTGTAAAGTGGTTCTGTGTTAGCCATCCTGTCTGTTAGTGCGACTGCAGTAGGAAGCCAGAGAAGAGGCTGTAACCATTCGGGTTTCCTCTCATCCCTCTGTAGTCTGTAGTCTCTAGCCAAACCTCCTGATCTTTCGACACGTAGACCGCCAGGCCGCCCGAGGTCACCTGGAATCAGAACCGGTCCAGATGTTATTATCCCNGATCACCATGATAACAGATGCTGCACAGCTGGACTGAACTCTGAAGGAGGTTCTGGTTTAGATCAGCGATACTAAATACCACTCTTTCATCAGTTCGTCTTCTGTCCATGTTCTCTATGACTGACTGAGGGACTACATTAGTAAACCTGGTGAGCTGTATGTTAACAGTAAAACTGAATGAAGTGTTGCCATGGTAATCTACATGCATTTAAGTGGCGATGCAGAAAATTCATGAATATGTTCTTATGTTTGGTCCTGATTTGCTGCCAAGATTGTTTTACACTGTTGGGACGACAGCTGATAGACACAGATTAATTAGTTTATCAGCTGCAGTCCCAGTGGTGTGAAACTTGAATAAATGAATTTGATGAAATTGAATAAATGTATGTAGCACCACTGACTTGCTGCGTGTTTTAGATCCTGCAACTTATTGTTTTTCTGCCCTCCTGTTTGTTCTGTTCTCATGAACATGTTTTTTCTTTGCAGCACATTTGTTGATTCGTGCCAGGTTCACTCTTGACAGTTCAAAGCCTTTCCCAGAAAATCACGTCTTTGCATTCAACTGAGGACAAAAAAAACACCCATCAGAGGAAGTGAAAGTCAGGAAAAACTCCACCTAGTGAAAAACTGGTGATGAAGCATTGTTAAATGTTAAATCTTTCCTCCAAATTAACATTTTGTTCAGTTTTTCTTTGAACTTCCTCTTTGTTGTTCCGGACAAGGCTGAAGCTCTTAACCTCAGTCGGGATGTCAGTATCTGTTCCACAAAATATTTAATTCCTTCAACAGCTGATGCATATTTTTAATAAATACATCCTGCAAAATGTGCATGTTTGTCATTTTCAGTCTTTTTCAGATCCTCTTTCGATTTCTGACATTTTGTGCTGGGTATGTTTTTACT